ACAAATTTTAAGATTTGCTATGTTGTAAACTAGTCCACAAAATGAGTGAAAAAGACTATAGAGTTTGTACAAACCGACTTTACAGCATAGTTTCAGGTCTGAACAACAACACAACAATGGATAGGCCTACCAACAATTAAATCTACCATGTAGACATACGGTACAGGCTTAAGCTTACAACTACAGTATGGCACAGTACATGCTCTACTTACCTATTATGTACATTTTCCTAACTTAGAAGAAACACCATTCTAATATTTGATATTTTAGAAGATATTTTTACGTACTTTTCTACGATACAGTGTTCACATACATACACGCTTGCTTTTACCGTAATTTGAATGTTATCATACAGGTGCAAAACAAATCAGGTATCTAAAAGACAATTGCTGCCAGGGACAGCAGTAGTGCCCTACCAGGCTGAACCTACAAATTACAGTATTAGTTCACCACCAGTCCCTCCCCAGCCTCACTCAGACAGTAATAATGCAGTGATGCCATATATTTCCCGATGAAGATGGCTAGTAGGGGGAGGGGGTTAGTTTTACCTGTGTTATATTATATTTACTCTATTTACTATGATGTTTAAAGTTTACTACTACATTTTAGCCGACCCCTTTCAATGTAAATGTTATGTTTACAAATTACTTTAAAAGGATACTGAATACTGAACCAATAGCTATACCTCCCATCCGAACGGAGATGGACCATTCCGCTAAGCCTCAACCCTTGAATATTGTGGCAAAAAATAATAAAAATAATAACCCTAGATGCCTGGAATTAGCATCTGGCAACCTATAGAGCCACTGCCCCTCCTCCATGATTTAAAGTTAGTGGGCGACTAGATACCATACCCATGCTCTGCATGGATGGGACTGAGGTGGGCAAATTTTGCTAAAATTAAGGATTGTCATATGGCAACGAGCTTGAAATGCATAGACTATAGCGCACACACAAAACACGCGCATGGTGAATATCTATTTAAATATAACAGTCACACACATTAATAATATCACATAAAATGGGATAATATGGTTAGAGCCATAGGGTTATAGCTCTATCTCGCTAAACCTTTCCGTAGTGTTCTGTCTCTTATACACATCTAGATGTGTATAAGAGACAGTATATATACCGTATAGAATACTTAAAAACAACAAAAATGCTGATAATGTATAGAAAAGGAATACAATGCAGGAAATATATAAAATTAAATTATAAACATACAAGATTTTGAGAACATTAACAGCATTAGGATCACTTTATGCATTCTATATTCATTAATTTATTTATTTATGCGATTATTATCGGTCTAGTTAAATTAAAGCGTATTTTACGACCAACGGATCGTTTTGAAGTCACTATATAAATAATATTACACTTTATTAAATTAAAATTATTTTATTTCATTTTAAAGAGTACTTAGATTTATATTGTTGAATGTAGGTTGCAAAAACATGTGCCTACGACAAACACTATACGGTATGTCATTACACAACAAATCTTTAGCTCTATTATTATGTTGTTACTGTTGTTTACATTTTCCGGTTAAATGCCATTGTATTATGGCCAAATTTTAAGATTTGCTATGTTGTAAACTAGTCCACAAAATGAGTGAAAAAGACTATAGAGTTTGTACAAACCGACTTTACAGCATAGTTTCAGGTCTGAACAACAACACAACAATGGATAGGCCTACCAACAATTAAATCTACCATGTAGACATACGGTACAGGCTTAAGCTTACAACTACAGTATGGCACAGTACATGCTCTACTTACCTATTATGTACATTTTCCTAACTTAGAAGAAACACCATTCTAATATTTGATATTTTAGAAGATATTTTTACGTACTTTTCTACGATACAGTGTTCACATACATACACGCTTGCTTTTACCGTAATTTGAATGTTATCATACAGGTGCAAAACAAATCAGGTATCTAAAAGACAATTGCTGCCAGGGACAGCAGTAGTGCCCTACCAGGCTGAACCTACAAATTACAGTATTAGTTCACCACCAGTCCCTCCCCAGCCTCACTCAGACAGTAATAATGCAGTGATGCCATATATTTCCCGATGAAGATGGCTAGTAGGGGGAGGGGGTTAGTTTTACCTGTGTTATATTATATTTACTCTATTTACTATGATGTTTAAAGTTTACTACTACATTTTAGCCGACCCCTTTCAATGTAAATGTTATGTTTACAAATTACTTTAAAAGGATACTGAATACTGAACCAATAGCTATACCTCCCATCCGAACGGAGATGGACCATTCCGCTAAGCCTCAACCCTTGAATATTGTGGCAAAAAATAATAAAAATAATAACCCTAGATGCCTGGAAATAGCATCTGGCAACCTATAGAGCCACTGCCCCTCCTCCATGATTTAAAGTTAGTGGGCGACTAGATACCATACCCATGCTCTGCATGGATGGGACTGAGGTGGGCAAATTTTGCTAAAATTAAGGATTGTCATATGGCAACGAGCTTGAAATGCATAGACTATAGCGCACACACAAAACACGCGCATGGTGAATATCTATTTAAATATAACAGTCACACACATTAATAATATCACATAAAATGGGATAATATGGTTAGAGCCATAGGGTTATAGCTCTATCTCGCTAAACCTTTCCGTAGTGTTACCATGGTGATACTCTGTAATCAAACTTAACAACCGGCAATCAAGAAACAGGACCAGGAATACGCGCGTGTCCCAAAAACACACGACGTGTTGTCACACAAAAACAACACACGTGTAGGACCTTAGCAAGACTATCCAAGGGCGGGGCTTATCGGAAATGTCTATTCCCTTAGTGACCGCAATGCGACGAGGCGCGCGCACAAGTCATACGACGGGTCGTGATGCGTCGTTAGGCGCTCACTATGGCGCTCACACAAAGCGGAGATGGATTCCGGACCGTCAGCCGATGGAGTGTGTGGTTATTCGCCCAGCAGTGGCCCGACCATTGCTGAAAAATGATGATGATAATGATGACATTGATAGTAAATGTGAAAAAAAAAAAGAAATTTATGATGATAAATATTCGTCGTTCCCAAGAATATCGCGCGTCCGTGGGCTGCGAGTTTTTCGTGCGTAAAGCCTGTAGTCTGCGTGTAAGAAGTGTGTTTTGATGATTCGTTTGTTATTGTTCTGAAGAAGCTTTTTTTACATTCACTAAATAATTTAATCGAATTCAGTGAAGACGTCCTTTATTTATTCGAGTTTGATCTGTGCTTTATAAATCAAATTAACTTAGTAGAAATATATTCCAATCATGCCGCAGGAAATTGAAAAGGTAAGAACGAAAAGCTACACTACATTTTACACAATCAATATTTTGGTACAGTATTCTTACTTTTTATCTTGTGCAAATGCGAATCTGTCCGTCTCTGACGCACTGCACAAGACCTCTCATCGCTACATTACCAGTGAATTTTATGTTATGTTTTTATTTAATTTCATCAAACATTCAAACAATAACAGGATGGAACACATTAAACATTATTTACAGTTGGCAAATACATTTAATTAAGAATTTTAAAAAAGACAATAACAGAAAACCATCAGAAAAAAAATCAACATTTACTAACAAAAACAATAACAAATGAACAAATACTCAATAAATATATACTTCAAATACACAATAAACGATACTTTATAGAATTTAAAAGTGCATGATAAATAGCATGATTTTCTTTTCATTGAATCATTATAGGGCCTAGGCCTAGGCCTAGATTTTAATTTGTGTTTCTTGTAAATAAATTGTAATGTAAACGTTTTCTTACATGTACTATGCCTGCTCTAAATGTATAATATTATATACAATGTTCAAATAAGTTTATACATTAACTCCATGCACTGTAAATATATTATAAATTTAATAATGATACTATTTATTTATAATATATTAAATATACATATTATATATATATACATAGGCCTATACATATATAAATACATAGCCTATATATATTTATATATATAATATTTATATAATATATATATATAATATATATATAATATACCGGTATATAATAATATATATAATATATATATAATGTATATAATATATTTATAATGTATTGAATAAATTAATGGTGCTGTATTGCCAAATTAATATAAATACAATTTTACCCAAAAACAACAATAATCGTAGTTCCCGAACTCCTCGCCAGTACACGCACGCGTGCATTGAATGCAGTAACGGGAGTATTCGCCCCTGTCCAGGCTTAGTGAAAGTGATAGTAGCAAGCACGCCTCATATTAGTACAGGATCTACTTGTTCAACATTTCTCACACAAGCCACGGATTAGATGTGTATAAGAGACAGTACATATACTATATTATATAAATTGAATTTCATATTGTACTTTCAGAGTTTTTACATTAGCAGTGAAAATTTTAAGTTCAACGGTGACGAAATATCAGAACAACGAGATAAGGTAAATATTATGAAATGTATCTTTTCTTCTACAGATTTAGCAATATTTTATAGATTTTTGAAACTATTTCTTTTTAATATTTCAATCCTCCAGGTCAAATCTGTTTGCTGTGCAATCATGCAGCAACAGATGAACTGTCTACATATGGAGTTTACCATTGCCAACAATGGCACAATCAGCTTCCTCGTCAGAGGTAAAAGAGATCGTGTAGAAGTCACAATAGGGTTGTTACAAAGACGCCTGACAGATGTAAGTCACGTAACACGTATCAAACAATTGGAACTGATGTGTACGAATCTACGTCCAATATGTTTTCATTTTAAAAATTCATTGTATACATGAATATTAAGACCGCCCCATTCTACTTTTAAGGTATACTTCTAAGAAGTTAGAACTTAAGAACCATGCCTGATAAAATTCATAATAAAGGTGTATTACTTACTCTAAATAACGACATCACTGTATATTTTTTGTGATCAAGGATCGACGTCAGTGCCCCAAAGATCTTCCAGAAGGTGTAGCGAGTCTCACCTTAGATAACTTGAAAACACACAACAAAGAGCTTGAAGAATTTCGAGAGTTTGGTTGCAGACCATGTGACCGAGTTTACTGGAGACATGTATTTGCATACAAACCAGTTTCAAGGTAATCATTATACTGTATCATAATTATAATGTGCCATTTGTACAGCGCATAAACTGTGCTCTAGTTACATTACTCGTGGTTCCTGGATCGAACACCTAAGGAGCACACCCTCAGATCAACAAAGAGCACTATTCCTTAAGAAGCTAGAATCATCAGCGCTTGGTTCTGGTTCTGGTGGGTAATGCCGACCTCCTAAGGACTCCAACTATGCAGGAGTATAACAGGACGGGGTAGAGAAATAAAAATCCTACCAGCTATCCACACTGATCCTCCTTGGTGGAAAGAGACAAACGCAGACACTGTGCCTCGCAGTGAGAGGGTTTCGAACCCCTGACATCAAAGATGGTATTCCGTGCCACGAACATTGCGTCAAATGCTTCTTTACTTCTTGAAGCTCACTTTAAGTGTTAACTGCCAATTCCTGGATATCTAAAGAAATTCTAATGCATAAGCTTACATATCAATTGATTTTTGTCAAAATGCTCTATTATGACATAGGTGCCCCAACTGTAAAGTTCGTTACAATGCCATTCCTAAAGACTTGGAGTACGGATGGTGCGAGTACAATTGCAACAAGTGCGGAAACCAGTTCACCAGTCGTGGACAGGCAGGGATACCGTCTCCTTGCTTCACTTGCAGAAACACAGTAAGATAAATTAGATTGCTTATCACTACTATTATTGAGAAAAAAAAAACCCATAATAAAAAAAAACCAGTTTTACCGAGATACGCAAAAATGTTGACCAACTCTTTCAATTTATTTCAGTATGACGACCCAGAAGACTTTGAGGTAAGATTTAGATTCTTAACATAGTTAACACATGTTTCGAGAAATTAAAGATGAATAAATTGAGAGATCATGCACTGCTTGGGAAACAGTTTCAAGGCGGGTGTTTTAAAGGTTATAAAAATAATGATATATTTGCGGTCTTTTCTAATCATAAGAGATTGTAATGTACGTACTCAATCAGAAAATCCTTTCCTAGATAAACTATGCCGCTGGATCCCAATGTATAACTTTAAAATGCACACGTGATCACAATTTCATGTACTTTACGCAGGTTCTACCGTCTCGTATTGGACCCAAAAACAACAATAATCGTAGTTCCCGAACTCCTCGCCAGTACACGCACGCGTGCATTGAATGCAGTAACGGGAGTATTCGCCCCTGTCCAGGCTTAGTGAAAGTGATAGTAGCAAGCACGCCTCATATTAGTACAGGATCTACTTGTTCAACATTTCTCACACAAGCCACGGATTCTACTTACTTCAATATTCTGGATTGAAATCCATATTTTACAGCGCACTCTACAGATGGAGAGGCGCTTACTGCGTTACTAACGCAACACAAACTTGTGCAATCATTGGGCTTGGTCAGTATCGCTATTTAAACCAGAGACTTTAAAACTGCAATTATAAATAGTGAACAATGCAATTTCAACAATCTTAACCTGGAACTCAGCAAAAGGATAAACTGCGGAAAAAGTGAAAAGATTATAAAAATCAATTCATATAATGTGAGTTCATAATATAAATAGACCTGCGTTTATTAGTTTACAGAATCAAAGATTCGAACTTAATTATTATTTTTATCTATAAAACGTAATATAAAAATGTATACCAAACTCTTTAAATGCATTATCAAATGTATGTATATGGTGCAATAAATCTTACAACTGTATAATAATAAACAACAAATTGTATCAAATGTAGGCCTATGTTCCAAAATCGTATATTTCAACTATTGATATGATTTCGAATTGATAACACTTTTTATGGGCAATTCATTTAAACATTTTATGAAACCAGATGAAATTCTTGAAAAAAATTTCATGGCCAGCCCTTAACCTCGCATTCTTTAGGGGCGGATCCAGCGAGAAGAGGTGGTTGAATGCGGGAGCAGAGCGAAGGTCGTGTGACAGAGCACCTGGTGGTGTGCAAAAAAAAGTGTGGGGGGGGGGAGAATCCCTCTTAAAGCTCTGGTACCTTCATTAACTTCTTAACTTCAGGTTGTATTTGATTGAGTTTTACTATTTAACATGGTAATTTTCTGTTAATACAGTACAAAAATACTGTACAGCTAATAAGGCCCCCGTCCCTTTTAAATTCGCCACTGCAAGGGATATCAATACCTAAAAATGTCTAGTATGTGTTCATTATGCTAAGCTAATGAGGAGGTGCTAGAAAAAATTCTGGGTAGGAGCCATGGGTGGGGGTGTGGTATAGTCCATTGAAAAATAAAATCAGGATGAGCAAAAGAATTGCAGTGCTTTTGATATCATTTTGATTTTCCTTCATCATCATCATCATCTTTTTCTTTCTCTCTTTTCTGTTGTATCCATCATGGGCACATCATCGAGACTGCCACTAGCATTTATAATTTTCTCTTTTCTCAACATCCTAAAGTGCTTAAAGAAATTCAAACACTTATAAGTGTTTGGAATTTCTTTAAGCACTTTTTAAAGTGATTATTGTGTTTGTAGCTATGTTCACACACGGCAGCTAACGGTTAGCAAGATCCAGATAACAAACATGCGCGCTCACCGACGCATTCATACAAGAAAATCCCCGATGCAGAAACCATGAAGATGATGATCGAATCACTGGCCAATAAAAAACTGGAAAATGATGACGCGTACATGTGATTGGTTAATGATAGAAATGTGCTGAACTTGCTAACTGATAGCGCTCGCTAACCTTTAGCGTATCCAGATCCTGGTAGCAGTTAGCGCCAACCGATCGTGTGAACTTGACCTATGAGTTCTTGAGATGAACAATTTACTGTAGTTATGTATGCTATTAGCTTTTGTTGTTCGATAATGGAATTTGTACAGAGCTTTGTAATGTACCTCTCGCACTGTGTACAAACAAAATATTGGCACCACTAATGCAAAAAATATGAATAACAAACTTTTCATTATACAAGCTTTATTTAAATAACGCAAGTTAGTCATTATCAAGAAGTACTGATTTGCAGAATACAAATGCTACACTCTTTGCTAAATATAGTTTGACTAACAAGTATATGTTTTTATACATCTAAAAGTATACGTTATTGAATTACTACTATAATACTATAAACACATTACTATACAGATAACTGAAAATTATACTTTCATAGCAGAAAAATATTATTTATTGAAATATACACTAAATTACAGGTAATAGCAATAATAATAATTATCAATATCAAAATTATAGAACATTGTATTAGTATGGCTTGGCAATTACTGTTTGTGTAATCATTATTTGTTCCCTTTAAAATCTCTATAACTATAAAAGGTTAAACAAAATTATGCAGTGACTAAATGACATCAAAATGACATCATTACCTTCCTTTCATCATCAACACCGTCATCATCTAAGAAGCTATTTCATTCAAAAATTCAGGCAAGTACGTCTACAATTATGTATAATATTTGTACACAGTTCAATAATACCCAACGCTGTTTTAAATGGTAGTAACTACTCGTCATCTCATACTTAATGTTAACAAAAATAATTGCACTGTTGTGTTAAGATGCTGAAGTATATAAAGAGAACTATTACCAACAAGAAACGACGACACGATTGTGTAACTAACACCAGAAAACATCATCTCAACATACACTTTCAAAATTTATCCAAGCGGAAAACAATTTTTTTTAACGTGGTAAAACTTGAATGGAATATGAAAAACACTCTGCTTTCACCGAGAAAACTATGAAAAAATACAATAAAAATGTGATATATATACAATATCTCTTCCTAAAAGCATAAGAATATATCATTTGCAATCTCATAAATTCTAATGAGCACCAAAATCCTAATTTTTTGGATTGTATTCCATACAAAACAAATTGCAAACAATAGCTGGAAGACTTTCCCAAAGACAAGGAATGAAATGCTTATGTGAATATTGAGAAACATTAAACAACACCAGAATTAAAAATAAGCAAATATATCCAAGTCAAAATAACAAAGGATATTACAAGCTGACAATGTTAACAAACTCACTTGCATATTTCCAAAGTAATTTGCAATGCAAATTATATGTAAATAATAAAATTTGCAAGCTGTTTATATAGTTTCTTTGGTAGAGATCTTATTGATGAATGCAATAGTTTTATGCCCACTTCATTTCAGGAAGTTCCGGAAGAGAACGTAACATCAACCTTTTGCAATTTGAATGTATAAAAATGTGGTTTTGATTTTCTTCTATAACTATAGCAACTAAATTGTATAAACATCCCTTTTATTAACCACTTCAGAATATATTTTAATAAATACACATGCAAATCAAATTGATGCATATAATTAAACATGGATTCCACATTAACTGGTGCTGACAACTTGGTTTATGAGGAGACATCTCAACTGAATTAAAACCATCAGCCGGCTATAATTCATTAGAAAGGTAAAAAGAAAATCTATATTTTTATTGGCTGACAATATAATGTTAGGTGTTAGGTACAGATGTTTCATCAAATCAGAAATTGAAATACTCATATCCATTTAATAATTAAGATTCATAGTAACTATTCAAAACGCTAATTTCATCTGAACTTAAAACAAACATTACGCAAAATTACATTCAGAAAAATTGCATTAATTCATTAAAAGTGAAGAAAGGCACGAATGTTGAAATCTCTTTGCTCCTACAACACTTGAGCTATTACTAAGAACACTTAAGATTACTCCTGATTTTATACAACACAAAGCCACAATGCCAAGTGAAAATGACCTAAAGGCAACTCAGCCAAGTGATAAATTCTATGCCCCTTAGTTAAGTGCAAAAATAATTCAGGACTCTTTTGAAACTATTGCATTTCACCACCATATTTAAATACTTGTAAGTAATCTTTCTCTTAAGTAGACATAATCCGCGTACATCTGACATTCCTTCTTTCCATACGCATGATCTTGCAGTGACCTCTGCAATGAACTCTGGAGTGACGTCTGCAATAACCACTGCAGTGCACACCAATAAGACCAGCTTATGGCATCCATTACAAATGCTTTATAAATGAATCTTTTCATATTTTCTAATGTGTCCAGTTAAAATAAATGCATTTAAATTCAAATTATCTTCATATAACTCTATACCAAACTAAAATAATTGGTGTTATTAAAAATATAGCAAAATATATTGCTTTGTAAACAATAAAATGATGTAAATGCAAACAGTCTAAAATATTTTCACATCTGAAATATTTTTGTTGTAGATTTTCAAGGTTAAAACAGAACTGATAGCATCTCGTTTTAAACCTCCATCTTTAATCTACTACAATTAAGTTTGAGCATCAATTTTATTTCAACTGAAATCCAACAGCTTATTCATCTCTGGCAAGAATTGCTTTTAAGCATTCCCTTCATTGAATAAATTTAGCACACATTTCAAAACAATCTTCAACTTTAAAACACTCCATATAATCCTCAAATCTTTACAAAAGTTCTTTACAATTCATAGGCCATTTACAGTCAATTATTTGATCCTCACAATGGACCTGACATCCTTCGCAGCAGTTGTTTGCTTTGCAATCTAATAGGCATCTTCATCATTGCTGTTAAATCACAGTTCATTGATAATACCGCCTGTTGATAGCACTATTTGGTGACAATACCATCATCTGATGTTGATACCGCCATTTGATGCTGCAATACATTTATATTTATTGCCTCTGTGTCTTCTAGAATCAGAACAAGCCTACATTCTTCTTTAAATTCTTTTGTTTCCAGGCGGGTAATTGAGCAAACTCATCTTTTGGCATTTTTAATATTTCCTACGGAAGAAAGAATATAAATTACAAATGTTGTATAACTAAATGCATCATTTGGTGACAAAATGAAATCAGCCCAACCACTTCTCCCTCAACAAAGGTGTTTATTAAAATTTATCCACACTATGTAACGAATACCTGTGATTTGACCATATATGGGATGATATGGCCATATATAGCTGTGATATGACATAATCATGCCCAAACATGGGAAAAATTTAAAAAATCCACTCCTACTTACCTCAAACTCCTCATCTGACAAATAAACTTCCAACTTGAGTGGATCAACACCTTCTGGTAGAGGGCGCTCTTTGAGTTCAGCAAGCGTGTACCTTGTTTTATTTAGTTTTTCCAGAATATCTTTTACCAGCACTGCCTTGTCTCCAGATCGTCCTTCCTGTAAACATATCAGAGGGGAAAAAAAAAGATTTTTTAAAGTAAGTAAAGAAAGTAAAATAAATCCTTGGTTGTAGTTTAGTAAGTTGAAAATCAGGCTAAGCCCATGGGGACCTTCAACAGCTGCAGTGCTGGACAAAACACGGTGGTGAATTAGGCAAGACACCAGAAGACATCCCTTGTGTGAAGAGTGTACTATGTTCCCTATATCTGGGCACAAGTTGTGATGACAGAAATTGCATGACAGCAGCAAGTGATCAGATGGAGAGGAAATGGACTCATCAGGCAACACACAGTATCAAGCTCTAACCAAGAGCGAGGATGAATTTGTCCAACATTGAATCTGCCAGGCTTAACAGTAACTTGCAATATATAATATTATAAGAATAGTGGTTTATTACCTCTTTGTTAATTTCTTCAACTTCTGATTTATGCTCCCAGTACGGAAATAAGTTGGTGAAAGTCAACGGTTCCAATCCAGCATGGATTAGGAAGGCTCTTGGAGGATTTTTTGGTCTTTTCTCTGTGAATAAAAAATAGATAACAATAACATATCTTTTCAAGATACATTGATCAATGCTGTAACTTAACAGAAATGATTAAATATGATAATAAAAATACCAATAATAAGCATAATAATGCACTATTATAAGTAAAATTTAATATTATTACAATTTATTCAAATATCATTTATATTTTCACCATCTTTTGTAAACGACGAACACTTCCAAAACAAATTTCTTTCAATGTCTTAAGTTTAAGTCATTTTATACAAATTTATTATTTATGCTCTAGAGGGCAGTATTGATAATCTTGCTTCTCTACCTTTGCAGTATTCCATGACTGTTTCCATGGCACATTTCCTATCGGTATCCCATCTCATTTTGGCAGATCCTGTTTTCACGATGCCATCCTCCTCCGTGTCTTGAGGCCACCATCCTTGCCAGAGGTAGACTTCGTAATGATTATCCAGTAAAAATTGTGCTAAAAATAGATGTTAAAAATCCCAATACAAAAAATTAAATAAACACATTTTAAATAAGCGTTTCACTAATGCTAGCAAAAAAAAAAAAAAAAAAAAAAAAATGGCAAAAAGAGTGACCATTGGCATATCCAGTACTAACTATATGAGCCATGCCATCCAACAACCAGCGTACTGTCGCCAAATGTTTAACTGAGTAATTAGTATAAGAATGTGGAAGTATTGTATACTTTTAGTACAGAGAAGCTGTAATACTTTTATTCAAACTTTGGCAATAATACGTTAATTCCACTACGTAACCCATCATTTTAAAGCTTTACAATATGGAGAATAAGAATATATTAAAAAGTCAATTTTAATTTTTTGGTCACTGATGCTAATTTTGGGATGGCAAGCCTCATGTGTCAAAAAAAGCAGATCCAAATATGTGCTTTGTTAATTAATGTTTGCTTAGATTTACACACTTGGCATAAATTACGAACTCAATCACACACATACATACAGCATAGATATCTAACATGGTTTCTACTGCATAAAATATGTACAGGAACCAAAAATGTGAATGTAGATAATAATAATAATAATAATAATAATAATGCTTAGCTAGTTTTGAAAAGGAATTGATTGTCAATCTCACTTACCTGGTTGGGATACGCTGTACAGATCTGATTGGAGGACAGGAAAGGGACAAGCGTGCTCATTGGATCGAGCAGGGTTTAGAATCTCGTGTGCTTTAAATATTCCTGACGTACTCGTTAAATGAAATAAACGAGGAGTGAAATCAAATTCCATTGGATCTGAGGAAAAGTAGACAAGAGTATATTTATTTACAATAGAATATCCCACGATGGTTTTCCTAATAAAGCACACTGTATGTGAAAATAAGTAATATTGTTACTAAGTACTGCGGAAAATAAATGCTATGACTTTCCCAAAACAAACTCAACACACTAACAGAAGTAGACTACTGCTACAATGACAACCACCCTGCAGGTACGACAACAACACTGCTGCTACAATGACAACCACCCTGCTGCTACGACAACGACACTGCTGCTACAATGACAACCACCCTGCTGCTACAATGACAACCACCCTGCTGCTACAACACTGCTTCTACCACAACAAACACAGTGCTGCTACCACAACAATCACAATCGCCACTATGCACACCAACAGCAACAATACCATGCTACACCAACAATGTACTACTAACACTGTATTGCAACAAGTCATACTTATTATGTTTAATCATACTGTGCTGCTACAACTAAAATTGCTACAACACACTGGTACTAAAAAAAAAATGACATACCTCCTATTGCACTATCATATGATTTCCTTTCCATTTTAAATATCTTGTTGAATGTTTTATGTTCTTTGCCCTCTTCCATCTCGTGGATAGTTGCTGTGCACTCTTGGTTCAGACCAGCTTCTAAAGGCATACTAAACCAAGTAAACAATGGGAAAGACGATTAATTAAAATAATATTACATCTGTCTTAAATAGCATAATGATATAAAGTCTTTATTCTGATCATTGCTTCAAAGTGTATAGCACGCCCTATATATATGCAAGTCCAGATAGATTTGACAATCAAGTGGTATTTATCACACACACACACCCCCACATGAGTCATCAGCTTGTTAAGTTAGGTCATTCTTCTCTTGTTAGTCTCTGATTCGTTTTCCAACCACACATCGCATTATTACACAGAGCGCATGATGCAAATACCTCTATGCATTTCACATTATTGCCTCAATCACTGGTTAAAATATGGAACAAATACTATGCTACACTATGAATTTGTTTCATTCCTAAAGCCACATTTACACTAGACACGATGACATATCATCGCATAGTTTGTATTCTTCAACACTGCGCGCATCAGTATCGTGTCATTGTCGTGTCGTAATCGTGTATAGTGTAAATGAGGCTTAAGAGCTCTGAGTGTAATAGCAGTCCCACTAGAATATCAAGCACACACTTAAAATGGTCAGAGCTAATACAGAAAACGGAGTTGAGTTGAAAAGTTTGGTGGTTAAGAAGCTTGCCCTCCAATCCCAGGGTCCTGGGTTCAATTCATGTCAGTGTTGCATGATTTTTTTCTCATGACCAAACAACTCCACTCCCTAAACCTCATACTGAGATTTAGTTTTTGTAAAGCATCTTGTGCCTACTGTATGTTTGTCTTGTGAAAGTGATTGTCACTACAAGTAGAACAATGATATATTCGCAATTGACAATCCTTGGTACATGTGTTAATGTGTGCATAAATAAATAAATAAAAATAAATAATAAAATAAAACTGCTTGATTCATTTGACCAGTCTCGACTCGAACATCTGAGTCTTTTGATTGAAGACCAAAATCTTACAACTATGCCAGACACTTCCACACATTATTACTATGATTTAGAGGAAGAATTTTCCGTATTCATGAAACTAATATATAAAAACTTTACTTACTTTTCTTTCATTTTATTTGCACATCTTCTAGCCACCTTTTGAGATGCCTCTGATGATTTGATGCCATGCCATACATAGATCTCAACCTCTTTCTTCTCAACTTTCTCAAGATTTAGAAGCACGAAAGAAGATCTTGATCGTAGTGAATGAGCAATGCATGGCAACTCTAACAGATAACCCTCATTTTCTTCTTCGGCACGTGCCATGTATAACCGGTAGGATCCTGTGTATAAGAACATATTAATATCATAATGACAAATAGGTATATTTAAATCAAATCAGTACTGAAAAATTACAATATAAAAATTATATTCAAAGGTTTACATTTACTTATATATGTAGACTATATATATTTTAAGTGTCTTTATCTTTTATTTAATCTACATTTAAGTATTATTATTTTACTTAACAGGTCTCTTTCCATGATATGCAGTCTACTAACGCCAACATATGTCAATGACTGCTGAATGTCTGTAATCAGACGGCTACAACTACCAGTACCAGTAACAATAACACTTAACGTATGAATTAAAAGGTTAAATGGTTAAAGGTTATTCATTTATATAGCGCACATTCCATTTCAGTTTTTTTTGTTGTTGACATTATCATTATCAATATCATTATCTAAAATAATTATTATTCAAAATGGATCTTTTTAGAGTGTCAATCAAATTGAAAAACTGACCAATCAAAACAAGTCAGTCAGGAATATGCACGTGCCTACGCACGTTTATGCTGTTGTTTTGATGAACCTTAGAAACAATATCCAAGGGGGGAAGAATAGTTGAAAGGTCCACTGTTCTTATCAATAGATAAATTCAATTGGTTTCCTTACCCTGAGTGTTGGTGTCTTCCTCTTCTCGTTTACCCATGTGAACGATCAAAGAGCCCTCAAAAAGGTTGAGAAAAGCACTGTGTTCTTTACCCTGTATGACCCTGACCTGGGGGCCTCGCTCGTCATCAAGTTCGACGGTCATAAGCGCCGATGCACCTTGTTCATTGATGGTACTACGCGACCCTTGCCAGAAAAAATATGCACACTTCTCTTTGCCGTGTCCGATGCCTCTTGTTGAGACGTTGCCCTTCAGATCACGCATTCCTGGAGTAAACAAACAAAACAAATCATTAAAATTTTTTTTATAAAAAACACCCCTAAAACAAAAATTCTACATTAAATTACGTATCATCATAAATGATGAAATATGCTACCATCTTCGAATGAGACTCAGATATAATCAATTCGCAGTCAACTTTAAACATACCTGTGCCCTCAATCCTGTACTGCCAACGTACAACATATGTGTCGCCCTCGTGCAACTGTCCAAAGCATTCTTTTGGCATGATGCTTCTTTCAAATTCCATGATATGCCACGTTGCGACAGAAATTGTTACTACTACGTGTCCACGAGACTGGAACTTGTCTACGTAACCTTTGAAAATAGAAATAAAACCCATGTTTAATATGAATATGAATAAACATTATTTTTCTTGCATAAAACAAATGCACTTTCAGAATACAAAACATTAAAATCCAAATAGAGAGTATCATGTACTATTGCATATTTAAAATAGACTACACCTGATAAGTAAGTCAAAAGGTTTAAGTGCAAATTTAGGTTTACAAGGTAAGATTACAGATAATATGTTATAAAATTAAGTTATAAAAATATATCAGTAGAAAGGGTAATGGTAGGAGCAGGAGTAATTTGATGTGAATCTGGGCTTTATCTGTGGAGGCACACTTAATAGTGTTACCTAGTAACAAATGGGTGACACATGGCACTGTGATGCTAGCAATGTATTGTTCTTGGACTATCCCATTTTAATGATAGGGTACATAGGATGAGGTTATGAACAGTAACTTCCTACTACTTTCATACATATCAAACTATCAATTTAAAATACTAGATCATTCCATTTTTTGATAGGGTGCATCATGTGATATCAAAGGCATTAGATTGTGATGTATATTAAAAAGATAGTCCCTGATGCAGACAGGTCAACAGTAGAAATAAAACACTCCTACTTGTTAATAAATTTTCTTCTAATTACAGTGTCCGTATTATATATTTTGATTTTAGAAATTACCTTCAATATCTGGTTTAGGTGTTTCCAAACTGGCTGTACCTTTAAGTTTACACAACAAGAAAAAATAATCACACAAAATTAGTTTTGTATTAAAATAGCTCCTACGTAGTTTACTATCAACAAAACATCAGAGCACCTCTAAACTACTGGACATATTAATATTAAACAATAAAATACAATGACACAATGTAAAATAGTGATTAATTTAAATGTTATTTCAAAAATTTTGTAGTCCTATGTGGTGGTGTTAGAAATTCAGTGCTTTTATCCTAACAGGCAGTAGGCCTGCATTGATCAAATTTATTTCATGCCAGTACACAAAATCATAAAAACAACATGCAAAGCATTTATCACTAAAGTTTATCTAAGCAGGTAACACATTTTTTTCACTGAATTCCTAAATAAAACAAATTCAGTTTTTACCAGTTCCTCTCCCCAAGTTTGTACCCTCTAAAATGAGGTAGCCTTTATCACGTGAGGGCGCTACCATCTTCTTAGCATCCCAAGCTACTAGTTCAGGCATTGGTTCCTTCTGTGAATGTGGAAATAATGAAAATGTATTTAAAAATAAACAATTTTTCAAAATTCAAAAAGCATAAAAATATAATTGAATATCATACACAAGAAAATTAAAAATATTGTGAATGTGGTTTTCTGTTAATATTTCGAGTATCATTTTCAATTTTGCGGTCATCACACCACTGTTGTCCCTATTATCATTATTACAACCTACAGTACAAATTAATCGTTACCTTCTGTGAACCATCTTGACTCTTGACCCTAATAAGTCGAGAATCATTTGGCCAATCATCAAACTTACACTGGAACAAAATCGTCTCCATTCTTTCATTCATCTGAAATAAAAGATCAAACATGAATTCTCATTAACCTATTTAAATATTCATTAGATTTGTCTGTTTTGAATCATGAATATATTGGAATTAATGCTGCAATACTAGAAACTATAAAGAGGAGGTTGCACCAATGATGGGTTCAGACAGAGGGTCTTACAGGAGGGTCGACCCAAGGGGCCCTAGCTTAAGATCTTATAGCAAAACTCCTGGTGGGGTCATGGGGAGACACTTCATGGTTTGGACCACAATATGGGAATCGTAATCACAAAAACTTGTTATTTATCAGCAAATTAATATTTTCAGACCATCAACAGTCCATGCTTGCACGATGGGATAAATTTCTTCATTAACATGAGGTAATGTTGTAGAACACAACAAGAATTTCATAAATTATTTAAAGAACTATAAAAAATAGATGTTTAATACCTTTGCAAACAGTGCCCAGTCTGGTCTGCTTTTCCCCTTCTTGGACTTTTCTGGATCGGACGGAAATATTGGATTGATGTCATAATCTGAGTAGTCGTACCCTTGTTCCCATAGCAACTGGCTGAGTTTTAAGCCTAGCTTACGATCCTCAGCTGACGTACACCTTCCTTGCCATAGATAAAGTTCAGCTCCAAAGTCAAAAACAAGAATCTGGTGGAGAAAAATATTTGTGACTTACCAAAGATATTCATTCATAGCCAGTACTGTTTTGTTTAAGATTGTGATATCACAGTTCAAGATGATCACATTTTTAACAGCTCTTTCATTTTTTTTTCAGTAGAATATGTGGAACTTTTAGAAGAACAAAAGAACTTCCAGATGAACATGAGGAACGTTAGATGAACGCGAGGGACTTTCACATGAAAATACATATTTTACTCACCTCATTACTGTTAAACATCTCATACTTTGGAATCTGTTCCCAATAGTCTTTATATGGTTGTAGTTGCTCGTTTTTGAGTCTATAGATCATATTGGTCTCGTTGATGTATATCTCCTGTATTTCATCTTCCTCAGCACCTCTGACATCTAAAAACGGAAAATGAAATTTCAAATATTAAGCTCTGTCTGAGCACTTGATGACAAGACACTGCCGAGCACCAGCAGCAGTCCGATCGAATCGTTGAAAAAGATTTGCATGTGCGCATACCATTTGATGCAGTGATTGCTTGGCCTTAGATTATACACATCATTTGTAGTTAAGCTATGGCTTGGTGCTAAGTGCTCATTGTCAAAGGCTATATTATGAGTCAAATCTTTTAATTGCTCAAAACTATTCGCATAGAAAAACCGTGATACAGGATAAAATATTACAACAATAACAATAATATTGAAAAAATAAAACAAAAATAATAATGATATAACAACAACTGACCGTCATAAGAATCCTCGCCACCTAAAAGCTTAAAAAACTCCCGAACTGGTCTTCCAAATTTGGTCTTGTTTTCTTGTATTACATGTACTTCAGTAGCCTTGCAGCCCAAGTCCTTCTTGGTCAGAGTGTACTGGGCAAAGTCTGCAGCCTATTAGAGCAATTACCAAAAATAATACTTTAATAAATTGTAATAGTTATCATCACATTTTAAGGTAACCTTCTCTAAATATTCTGGATAATAATAACTAACATATAGTTAAACAAATAAAAAGGAAAATAACATGATAGTTGCCATTATTTCTCCATACAACAAATCCAAATACTATACATTTGAACTATACATCCCAAGGTACAAGAGTTTGCAATCATAAAGCTAATGCATGCATACTCCATAAAATAATCTAAAGATTGATTGCTAGAACTTTCATTGGGCAAGTTAATTCCAATTTTAATGGAACAAGATTATGTTTAAAGTTAATTATTTAAAATAAATGTATGTTTATGAATTTGTACTTTTTAATTGCCTCGTTGATTACTGTTTAACATGAATTAGGAGTGATTTTGTACTTTTAAAGAGCCTTATATTAGGACCATGTATAGATGCTCTAATGAATTTAAAGATAGATCAAGCACTGATTTTTTTTACAAACATCATGCTTTAATATAATCACAAAAATACCTTAAAATGAAAGGCAAACCAAAAAAGAGATATTAATTATGAAATACCTTTGATTTTTCAAGAATGTTTGCATATTCTCCCTGCCAACAAAAGATCTGCTTTGACGTAACAAGTACAAAACAATCTCCACTGTTGAGTGATTTTGCAATTGGTTCAACAAGTCGTGCTTGCACCGATTTCCTCCCTAAACAAATGGACGAGAAAGGTCATTTGTTAGTCTGTGTCCACACTATCAAATTTTCTTTGACAAGAAACTCCAGTATGCCCATATATAGTCATGATGTGCCTATATATGGTTATGATGTGATGTCATCATGACCATATTTAGGTATGTCACATGGTTTTATCAAATACAATTTGATAGTCTGGACAAGTCTTTAAAAAGCATTTCATATTGTGTTATTTGTCAATCAGCGTGTTCCCATTTGATTTGCAATACAAATTTCCTATCCTGTTGGATAAACCGATTTAGTCTACTTATGGCCTAATGCAGGATCTGGTTTTCCTTTCAACAAAAGCCATTGGCCATTTTCTGTTGTTTACATTACCAAGCCTTTTAAAATTTAGTTTTGATGTTTATGCCTAAAGCGTCGTCTATTTTCTGACGCTGATCTGTTACAACGAGAAACAAATTCAAAATCTTAACAAACTTACATTAATCTTTGGCTCATGTGATCCCCTTGTGCATTACTACTTGCCTCTATCTCCTCACAACCCCCCAATTTGTTATTGTTACATAACCAGTGATTCTGTAACCTTATAATTATAACAACCACAACATAACTGAGGTCCCATATATTTCCATACCTTTAATCTGCATCAGCATGAGATCCTTATACGGAAGCATTAAACCCTCTACAGCTCGGACATCCCCTGTTTTGCGTAGGCTCACCCTCTTTAAGTCCATACGACTTGTGAAATATGCTAAAGAATACCCAGTGAAATCTGTTTGTTTACCACCAACTGCAAAAAAAAAAAAAAAACTTTTTATCCCACCAAATTTTTAAATCACCTGAATTTAATATAGAAGCTTTACAAGTAATTACATGTGTTGGATAGTTAAATGTACTGTTATATTAGTTTAATGTTGTATCTCTTAAAAGGTATATTGTTTGAATTTCATTTTCCCTTTCTTTAATATGATATCGACGGCAAAGATGTTGATAATGATGAAAATAGTGATGATGACGAGGATGTGGATGAAAATAAAGATGATGATGAAGATTCTGACGATAATAATGATGAAGTAATTTTTGGATCTTACATTCTTAAATCTGAATAATATTAACAAGTAAAACAAAAAAAGAATGTTTTCATGATAAATATTAAGTACTTACTACTTTTCTGTGATTGCGTTTTAGTTTGAACTTGTACCACTTCTTTCCTCTCTTCTGTGTACTCAGATTGAACATTTTCCCGCTTCTGTAATGCTTTTACTGGATTCAAAGAACCCCTAGCCCTCCGTTGAGGACGTATTGTTCTTTTATGAGTTGATACTAAAGAATCTAATCTGTAATTAACAAGAATAATTGTTTAAATTTACACTGCCACCAAAGAAACAACTTAAAATATTATATGAAATTAACTGTTCATTGAAAATAATATAAGTTATCAGGTTTCAAAGAATTATAGATAAAAAATATTATCTTTATTATTATTTTTTTAATTATTTTATTTTATTATTTTTTTATATGAAAATCCTTTTATTTGCTCACTAAAGGTAGAGTGTATGCAATTACTTGAGGAATGGTATTTTTCAAATGTCTGCTGAGAATTTTTTTCTTATTCTAATTTTCAGTTGAAGGTGAATAACATATTTAAATACAGTATACAAATTTATATCAATCAATTTTTTTAACTTTTAAGTTTATATATCTTTAGGATGGTCCCAGTGATAACATTTTATCTAATATATAGTTTATTCTTCACAACTTTGAAGTAATTATTTGACAATCAGTATATATTCAAGACAGCAAGACAATACTGAATTCAAATTTGTATAAACTTGAATAATCAATTATTTTGTTACATTATTATTACATTACTCCAGGTAAGATCATCAGAATACCAAGCTTGCTCTGTAGCAACATGTTCACATTGACATTTCATCTTATGCAGAAAATTTAACTCTACATATGTGAAAATATCACATGATACAGGGCAACCACTATTATGGCCTCCTGAGAGAGCTTTACATATGCTAATTAGTCCCTCTTGTATACCAAGATTAACATTCTGTTGGTATAGTTCCATTACTGCTATTAAACTAAGACCTAACGGATACATAAGCACTTGCAAATACGTACAAACTTGTATAATAACAAATTACATAACAAAAGCAGACATTTAATTCTTAGAAATCTATTAAGAAAGAAGATGATCCAATTTAATTAATGAAACAAATATTGGCCGACAATTAAAAATTTAATAGTACAAAGCTATTATTCTTTCAACTTAAAATGCTATATTGACCAGGTCAACAACCGTGAACATAGAGAGATCCAATGCTCCTGTGATCCATTCAAGCTTGTGTATAAATTATTTTTGTTGCAATAAAGAATAAATTAATGACTTTTGCATTTTATAATTGAATTGAATAATTAATATATCTTACACATGCAAATGCCCTTATTAAGAATATTCAACACTTAGATTAAATGTGTGCCCTCACCTGTCTAGTCCTTTGGTGGGCAAAAAGGTTAATTTCTAGTTAGAGAATTAATTTCACATACAAGAGAATTTTATCAATTCTGTATAAGGTGTCTGAATGAAAATTAATGTTTTAACAGTTTCCCATTTCCACAAATAGTTTAAATTCATAGCTGCAGCCATGTGGTGTCAGATGCAACAAAATTTAGCAGTCATTGAGTGGCAGAGGGACTGAGGTAGTACTGGATGTTTCCACTTTCTACAGGGATGAAAGAATTAAATTAGGTCACTGAAATGCTATGACGTAAGTATATAGATCACACACGGTACCTTGGTCCACTCTTTTTTGTTAATAAATCAAAATCTGAGACAGTCATTTCTTGCGAGACACTTGTAACCTTCTCGATTCTTGTTGTCTTTGAAGTTGATGAGATGGTTTTGGAACTGCTCTGAAAGAACTCCTCAAACTTTTCGTCAGCTGGAACGAGGACGGCAATCTTTTTCTTTATGAGGCGCACCTCTGGCTCGGATTCCGATGATTCGGTGGCGGTTGTCGTTGTGGAAGAACTACTTTGGACAAATTTGGCTGAAATTATAATGATTTATAATCATAAGCACATCATGGTTTATAATTAAGAGAATATTCTCAATGATTGAAATAAATTTATATAATAGTCTATGTATATGTGTACAAGTAATTATCATTCACCTGAAGTGAAGTGGATTGTATACATGAAATGATAATAAATATTTCAACTAATCTCAATAGTGCTACTGTTGTTTTAATTACTGTTTAAAAATAGACTGGTACAGCTTGTTGCATTATTTATGTACACGCAGACAGTGATAATATATGTAGATAGAAAAAAAATGAACAGATGAGAAAAAAAATCCCATGAGGATTTTCAAAAAGCCAAATAAATTAAATAAAGTAACTATGAATAAATTACTTACATTTTGTTGGTATTACTTTTATATTTCCATTTATCTGGTTTTTCTTAGTTTCATTTTCCTTTTCTTCACTTTTTTCTTTCTTTTGGCTAATAGCTGAAAATTAATAATATGTTATAACAATAATAATAATGTCTTATAAGGTCCATGTATCGACCAAAGAGAAGAGTGGTCAATAGAGGAGAAGTAACAAGCAAGAGTAAAGTAATAGAAAGAGTGACAATTGTATTGCATGTCAAAAAAAACACCCTCAATGTCTTGCTAGCTACTAGTTATAAATGGGTACCTGGAAGTATTCTGCAGATTCAATCTCATCCCACTCCTTTGTTTTCATTTCAGCTAGAGAGCTGAAATGCTAGCTTTAATAGTGCAATGTCTTTCGGATGAGACAATTACGCTGTTAATCGTACGTGCATTGAAAAACACGAAGTACACTCTTTGAAAGAGAATTGGGGATTGTCTCCTGCTATACTGCCTAATTCACTACCAGGACAACCACACTGGATGTAAGTTTTTGGACATTTTTGTGGATTTATCCTTGGTGTATTTTACACCAAACAAATCCAATCCAATACATATAAAGATCTTGGTATTATGTGTTATAATGTGTATATATATGACCGAATATAATTTTTTAAAATCATAAAATAACAAATGTAAACAAAATATAATAACTTACTCCTGAATGATCCAGGTCTCTTTCTATTTAGATTAACAACAGACAGCTTTTCGGAGGAGGAATCTGAAGATTTTCCCGCCTTTTCTAACTTGCCCTGCACGGTGAACTGATCAATGTCCTTCTTTTGAACTCTTGACTTCCAGCTGTGCTCACCGGATTGTTGAAGTGCCTGAAGCCTCTCCGCAATACCCAACTTCTGTCCCGCCTATTCCGTAATTTCATGAAAGGAAAAGATCCAAGATAAATAATGTGTAATGTAATGTGGGAGCAGTTGGCGCCGCGGTTGCGTCTCTGTCTCTCAACCTCGAGGTCGGAGGTTCGAACCTTCACAGTGCATTACGCTTGTGTTCTTGGACAAGGTACTTTAGCTACAATTGTCTCTCTCCACCCAGGAGTGTAAATGGGTATCCAGTTCCCTACTGGGGAGGAAAAAGGTGGCGTGGAAAAGAACTGTCCACATTACTACACAATGCGGACACTTAGTACTAATTGTCTAACAGCTCATTCCTCTATGTATTGTAGCTGGATTTATATAGCGAAGTCTGACACTTAAGGTGTGGATCAGCTCGTACAATAACTTGCTTCAAACCTAAAGGGTCTCTCCGTGTCTAAGCTACCCGGAAAACCGATACCAGCTATTTCTCATCTGTCCACAACAGGGGCTTAATGGACCAATACACAGGGGTAACCCTCTACTCATCTTGAAAGATGTACTTAGTTCTTTAAAGTGCACATGAGGCAAATTGTGTTCACTGGGCCTACGGTTTATAGTCCTTATCTGAGACTTGTAACACCCCACCAGAACACCATTAGGCGAGCATGATGCTGTTCAAACATTATTGTGGCTGTACGTTGTGGCGCCCCTGCTGTAACCACTCAGGTAATCGAGTAATATTGTACAACAGCATATCAAAAAGAAATTAGTGACATTCAAAACTATTTGCAATATTTAAAAATGCTTAAGTAAAGTGGAGTAATCAAATACCAACTTACATCTCCATTGGTTGTGAGAGATGCATTATTCTCCAGTGCAGATAGCCGATCTTTGAGGGTAGTAGATTTCGGCGAGTCTTCGTATTTCTTTAATCGCGTTTTCCAACCTTCCTCTCCATTTTGCTTTAAATTCTGTAGTCTGTAATGAACATAGTCAATGGCATGATTATGAACATGCATCAGATATATAAGACTTATGGAATACTATATGCTATCTACCGTACACAAAATGTGCCAAAAATATACAATTATTAAAAAATTATTATGAGCTTAATGTTTTCTAAAGCAACTAAAAATTAATGAACAAAATAGCAGTGGGAACAGACCGGAAGATGAATAATTTAAAAAAAAAAATTTTACCGCATTTATGATTAGTTACATCCAAAAGATTTTTTCATACACTAAACCAATACTGTACTTGGCACATGAAAGTATTGCACTTTCTGTTGTATAGAGATGAAGGATACACACAATACATAAACGTTTCTGAAAATTTGAAGTAAAACTCATAATTTATTAGCCTACCTTTCTGTGATAGAAGCTCTGGATTTTGAGGGTTCTACCAGCTGTTTCACCTGAGCCATTTCCTCATGCGTAACAGGCTGTGTCTGAAACCTCTGTGATGATGGTGATAGTTTCTTTACTGGCTTCTTTGCAACCTCTTTCTCTTGTTTATGGGCATCAACAGGCTGGGTCTTATATCTGAAAATGAAAATTAGGTATTAGTCAAAACTATATTGTAACATGAACAACATTGAAGATATATCTTAAAATGACTCTCAGGAGTCAACAAGGCCTGCATTTAGCCTTCATTCATGTTAAAATTTAAGATGAGCTCCAAATCCTGGGTGGTTTTGACATATGGCCCACTATAATGTACATCTACAGTTGCACATAATGTTGGTTAAAAACTCAATACACATATAATAATAATAATAATAATAATATGTCATTCTTATATAGCGCTTCATGCCTTTACAAGGCCTCTAAGCGCTTCACATTACTATCCCGGTCATTGGATCAAACACATATGGAACACATTGAAACACCAAATTAAATTAGTAAAATGAAATTATATTATCATTCCATAAATTGCAGCTAGTAATCAGCGCAGGTTGAGTTGGAACCTAACAGGTACCCACTTGTACTCCTGGGTGGAGAGAGGCAACCGTAGATAAAGTGCCTTGCCCAAGGACACAAGCGATTTGCTCAACCAGAGTTTCGAACCCCCGACCTCAAGGTTGGGAGTCCAAGCCACAACCGGTGCGCCAACCGCTCCTACAAATACATATACATACATTGATATATCAATATAGATTTGCATCATCTATGAACAGAATTGTTATAGGGGATTACACAGGATGTGAACCGATAGCTATTGGCATCCATAATTCTTCATTAGATAGAGAATATTTATGCAACGGCAGGTCAACAGATGGGAATTACGAGGCAGGAAAGAACAATTTTCTAAATATATCATTTTAAATTCCAATTTAATTTCTGAATAATAAGCAGAATGCGATAAAATTGACACTTTATTTCCGCCACAACTTTCCTAATAATATTTGAAGGAGGAAATGGTGCAGTTGTACTGGTATCAATTAATAGCGAGTCTGTATTACCAGGGTAATCTTCTTGATGAGCACACTATCATTAAAACACACCTACATATATAGCAGTGTACTGTCATGCAAACACTATTTTATGCAGAAAGCAAGGTCAAAGACCTTAACATTTTGCATTAATTGTATTATATCATCTGTTAACCAAGGTGCACATTTTTTACGAACCCTTCGTTTTTTTACGGGAACATGTTTGTCTATAATTTCTTTAAAGTGTTTTTCAAATAGATGGGCACTTATATTTACATCACATGCTGACAGAACATCATCCCAGATTATATTGTTTAAATCGCAGAGAAAATCTTCTTCTATTAATTTAGAGTAATCTCGAGATATTTTGTACTTGTGATTTTGATTGCTTCTCTGCTTATCAACTATTTTTGTATTACTATGTTTTTTTTTACCCCAGATTGCATATGTCATGGAGTGGTCACTTAAACCGACATGAATTACACCGCTATCTGATATTTTATCAGTATTAGAACAATACATAACATCAATTAAAGTAGAACTATTTACTGTTATTCTAGTAGGTTCATTGATTATCTGCTGAAGATGAAAACTAGCACATATATCATTAAGTTTATTAGAATAACAATGAGGTACAGTGGCAAGTAAATCACAATTTAAATCACCCATTAATATGTAGTCTTTGCTTTCTAGTTCAATAGAATGTAGAATATTATTAATATGGTTAAATTGATCAATTGATGAACCAGGACGTCTGTACCATAAAACAATAATAAAAGGCTTACATTTGACTGGCATAATTTCAATTGTGATAAGTTCTAGTACATTTGGACAAAGGTCATTTCGCAATTTATGAATACAATTGTGGTTTACATACAGTGCTACACCTCCACGACTAACATTTTCAAAACCATCAACATTTCTATCCTTCCGATATAAATAATAGTTGTCAATATGTACATCGTTGTTACCAATATTTCCATTCAAGAAAGTTTCACTAAGTCCACATATATCTATGTGATTATTATTTAAAATATTTTGCAATTCATCAAAAATGTGAGTAAGACTACAGATATTTAATTGTGTTATAACTAGACCCTGTTTATCAAGAACTTTAAATATATTAGTTCCAGTGTCATTTACATTGGTGGGTGTAGATATTTTGTCATTTTCTGTTGCATTTACACTATTATTTCTTGTAAAATTTGTAGTCTCGTTTTCATGGAAAGTTGTTTGATTTAAATTCTCATTCTCATAAGTATTGAAATCAGGAAGGCTTATATTTAAATGAAACGATTCATCAGTGTTTGTCTTATTACAAACAGATAGATTAGAAATTGTACAGTTATTTTTAAAAACATTCGAGTGATTATTTGAATTGTTTTCTATATCTGATACTTCTATCTCACTACAACTCATATTATAACTTGATGTGTAAAAGACAGATTTGCAAGAATCATCTTCAGAAGCATTGTTGGTGCAGTTACATTGAGTTATTGCTTTGTAGTTTGTTTTTTCCTCGGCTGACTCTTCATTGCCTTGATATGTGACCGGTAAACGATCTTCTTCTTGTAGTGATTTAGCCTATCCTAAACAAAATGCCAAAATTTAAAAAAAAATAAAATAAAAAATAAGGGTGCATAGAACCTTTTTTTGGTTGTAGAAGTACCCAAAAGGAGATGTGTCTGAAAAAAAAAATCTGCGAACAACAAGACTGGATGTCCCCAGTGAAAGGTTTCGAGACGTTGGTGGCGATATTTAAAAACAGACCAAATAAAATGATGTATAAATGTTAAATGCTACAATTACTAAATCTTCCTTGCAGCTATGAAATAATCAGATGATATCACTACTCTGTGCTACTGCCTCTGTAGGCAAAACATGCTCTCGTTGACAGGGGCTAAAGGTGAACCAAATATAGTAACCAGGTAACTCCTGCTCCACTAAAAGGATGTTCTTAAGTACACAGCATTGAACATACACTGAGCCTATGGCCCAGAACACTTATCCAGGAAGGACTTCATTTCAGGTGGTTTCAACAACTGAAACCTTGAAGAAGAAACCTATTTATATGTATTAGTATCTGATATTAAAGAGGTCAAAAGTTCTTTACCAACTTCCGTAACTAAATAATTCAGGATTTACTGTATAAAATAATATATAATTTTTATTGAGGAAGCAGATATTTATTCATGTATTAAAGTAGGTCTGTTGTATCTTGTTACAGTTTGCTACCATCACAAACACATTGCCTTGGAAGAGTTCATGTTGAAACACAGATCCACTTGGAGGTATGTACACTGCCTCCTGTGTGAGCTAATAGACTTGGAACTCATACTCCCTAAAGGTGAGCAGGTTACACCATATTAGTGTTTACAATTACAGTACTATACCATGGGAAGGGCTTAGAAATTTGGTGACTTATTAGTGTATTATAATGCCGATGACATTTTTTCACCAGAAGAAATAATATAAATCGATGCTTGCCCTACCTGATGTGTTATAGTATACTGAATACTTAGTCGGTTCTCAAATGCTTGTGAAAACAAATCTTGCATGTCATTTGGGTGGAGATTGAATCAACAACCTTCAGATAAAAAGCCTGGTGTCTTAACCACTCAACCACTGAGCTTGCGCTTGGTGGCTAGTGATGAATCCGATTTCAGAGTAGCAGCGGGTACTGCAATGCTATCTGAAGATGTTTTTGCGTCCACAGAAATTAAATGAATCAAAGCTTGTGACGTTTTCTTAGGTGTTTATCCTACAAAATTTACCAAACAGAAACGTGAAGAGCAAATTATTTTCAACATGTATCTTCACGTCATAGTCTTTTGACTAATAGTCTAAATTTAAAGGCGAACTTAGCAGCCATCCAGTTGATAAGGAAAAAGAAAAACAGCCTTATTATATATTAAATGCATTTAATTAGAAATTAAACCTGCTTACTTTTTTGACTTTTAGATCATGCTAAGTTAAAAATAGGTCATACCGCAATCACAGAAATATTAAGGACTTCAACCTATATAGAGATATAGGTTGAGTAATTGTGGAACAGAATCGCATAACTGAATAATAACCGACTCAGGACTGACAACGTCACTGGAATGTTGATAACATTTTAGTAGGCTATGCATCTCATTTACAACATACTAGATTAAAGTGAAATATTAACACATTAACTAGGAATAATAGTGATGTTATTACATGTGTATTTACAGTGCCTAGAGGTTGACAATAAATTAATAAACCTAAAATGACATCTACAATGTTTAGTAATATCTAAACTTGTATGAAAGAAGGGTATCGAAAGGTGAAACCTAATTCAAAATCCATTTCCTGCAAAAGGCAAAAATTTCATCAGTCTCCAAAATGTCTGACAACAATTATTATATTACAAACTATGTCAGATACCTTCCAAAAAAATTGACAAGCAAAAAATCACTTGTAGACCGAATTGAATCAAATTCATTTAAAGAAAGGGGCTTTTCTCTGGTAGAAAATGTTTTGATCATTAAATACCTCTGATATTTTGATGCAGAACTAAGTTTTCAACATGGAAATGGATTCATTATAAGACAAAAAAAAATAATGGTAATCCAGATTACACTATAAAAAGTTTGGTCAAGTCTGTCTGTTAAAGTCTGACAGATAAAAACTGCATAATATTGTAAGTGCTGGACTGGATGTTTTTACTTTTTTAACAGGATTGAACAAATATGCAAGGTATACTGGATATGTGTGTTACGGAACATTGTTCTGAAACGCCTGTGTTTACATCATGTAGGTGGGTGTTTGTCACCTTTCTACACATGTGGGCCAACTTTGAAGTTAAAATGAGCTTGCGCTTATATTCCATTTTGTGTACATAAGCTTTAGTTACAAAAAATAATAAAGAAATTTGTACGCTTTTATACGGACAAGATGTCAAATTAAGACATTCTTAAAGGTATATATTCTGCCATAAGACAGTATGAAACAAACTCAGTAGATACATCACTTTTATTGGAGTTTGTTTCGTTCGTATGTCAAACATGTCGGTGAACCCATTATTTCTGAAAATACATTGGAGTGTAACATGAATTTCTATCAAATTGTAGCAATATAGCATGA